CGCTGTAGCGCTCCTGCGAGAACACCGGCGCGTTGTCGTTCACGTCCAGCACCCGCAGCGCCAGCACCCTGCTGCTCTGCAGCGCCGGCCACCCGCCGTCGGACGCCCGCACCGTCACGTTGTACTCCGACTGCTGCTCCCGGTCCAGCTCTCTCGCTGTCACCACGCGGTAGTAGCTGCCCTGCGAGCGCTCCAGGCGGAAGGGGACATCCCCGTCAAGGGAGCAGCGCACCTCGCCGTTGGCCCTGGAGTCTCGGTCCCGCACGTGCAGCAGGGCCACCACCGTCCCTGTAGGGGCGTCCTCCGAAATCTCATTTAGTGCAGACCTCACAGAAATCTCGGGAAAATTATCGTTTATGTCTGTCACGGCAATCGTAACTTTCACCGTGTCTGAAAGCCCTCCTCCGTCCTGTGCCTGCACCTCCAGTTCGTAGGAATCGCCTTCTTCATAATCAAGGCTCTGCACTAACGTGATCGCTCCCGTCTCAGAGTCGAGCTGTAATATCTTTGTTCCTTTTTCTGTTATTTTCTTCAACGAGTATTCCACGTGCCCGTTTATACCCTCGTCGGGGTCGGTGGCCGTGACAGTGACGAGGGTGGAGCCCACGGGCACATCCTCCGGCACACGCACCGTGTACTCCGCCTGGCTGAACACGGGCGCGTTGTCGTTTGCGTCCACCACCGTCACGCGGATCCGCGCCGTGCCCGTCCGGGCCGGATCGCCGCCGTCCATCGCCCTCAGCACCAGCTCGTGGAACGCCGCCTCCTCCCGGTCCAGCGCCTTCGCCAGCACCAGCTCGGGACGCTGATCCCCGCCGGGGCCCGTCTGCACGGCCAGCGAGAAGTGCTCGTCGCCGCTCAGATCGTAGCTCTGTAAGGAATTCCGTCCCGAATCCGGGTCATGAGCCTCAGCCAGGGAAAATCGCGACCCCGGGGCTGTTGTCTCGCTAGTTCTCTTTACTATCTCAATATCCTTGAAGCTCGGGGCGTTGTCATTAATGTCCATGATTTCTACTTCTATTTCATAAACCTGCATCTGTCCCTCCACTATCAGCTCACAGCGCAGCACGCATTGCTCCACACTCTCGCACAGCTGCTCTCTGTCGATCCTCTCGGCCGTCATTAAATGTCCCGTCTTCCCGTGCAGAGCAAAATACTGCGTTCTACCTTCAGAGACAACTCGGACACCACGGTCTGGGGGCTCCGGCAGCTGCAGCCCCAGGTCCTTGGCCACGTCGCCCACGAACGAACCCTTGGGCATCTCCTCGGGCACCGAGTAGCGCAGCTGCCCCCACGCCGCCTCCCAGGCCGCCAGCAGGACGCCCCAGAGCAGGACTCGCTGCCGCCGGCCCCAGCGCCTCCCCGCCGAGCACATCACCGCCGCCGCACCGCCGGCACCGCAACACTGCCGGCAGATCCCAGCTGCCGCCAGCCGATAAGCTTTGCTGTTCGCCGCTCCCGGCTGGTGCCGCCGGACTCTCCGCCTCGCTGCAGCACGGATCGTCACTGCGGGAAAGATCACAGATCGTCAGCAGCCGATCCTGTCAGGCAGCGATCGAGCCGGTCCGCAGCGGGCGGGGCTGCAGCGCTCCGACCTTCCTCTCGCTCCTCTCGGTCAACAGCGGCGCCCGCAGCCTCCTCCCGGCACTGCAGGCACCGAGCGCAGTCGAGAGATGCTCACCCTGCCTTGAGCACGGGCAGCTCGTGGCGACGGGACATTCGCCACAGAAACGTTGGGTCTCGTCCAGTGGAATCAACCTGTTATCATTTCTACAGCCGGCTTCCAGAAAAGGAAAGGAGCGCGCAAGGCTGAACATTCACTAGGAAGACACACGTAGATTCCCTTTGGAATAAAACACTGAAATGGTATCAAAACCGTTGTACTACTCATCAGCCAACCAATCCCCGTACATCTGTTCAGGAAAGATGGATCAGGAAGGAGAAACAGCCACTCCTTTTCCCTGATCCCATCATGTAGCATTAACGAATCTCATTTTATGTAGTAAGGATCTGCCTTCCACTTAAATAACTCCTAATATTTCAGACAATCCTACCTTGGTAGACAAAAATTTTCATGAACCTAAACGTACAGTGAATGGAAAGAAGAGCTACTGTGCGTCTGAACCATCACAATTGTGTGGACGGCACAATTGAAGGACGAAAATCTCCCCTAAAAATGTGAAAATTGGTGAGGGTGGCAGTGATGTCTGCCAGCCTTATTTCCTCACAGCAATCCGACACTTATGCAGCTACCTCCCCTCAAAAGACACGAGAGCACATGGAAGCATTCACTCTGAAGTAACAGCCTGCTACTTTTCTATCCAGGGATCCACATTTCTGGAGTGCAACAGCGAAAAGGAAAGAAATAAAGAGTTGGGTTGTTTGTTTGTTTAACAGCTGTTCTCCAGGCGTTAACACATCGCTTGGGAAAAGAGAGATCAGAAGGAAAACATCTGAAACAACGAAACTCAATCATGGAATAAACGAATCCCGTTCAGCTGAAACTGTCAGTTTCAGACAAGCTTTGAAAACAAACTTCTTCAGCTACACCTCAGCCTATGATGAAAGAACAGGTACTGTCTCTGCCTGCCTGCTCTGAATGGACAGTGAAGGAAAACAAAATATAGACTAGAGCTTTACCTCCCCTGTAACATTCCATGTAGCAAAAACTTAACGGCAAGAGCCTGCCTCGAGTCTACACGTCTGACAGGTCTGACAGCAATAACGAGACCCTTTGCACCACCTGCTGCTAAGAGACACAGGACAAGACTGTTAGAGGCGTACATGGAAATACAGACCGGTACAAGCCATCCCAGAAGAGAAAAGAATCCACGGTCACCAACACAATCATAGAAAATATTCAGGGCTTACAGACCTGCGGTGCGTCAGGGTCTGTGGGCGGCTCTCCCGCGACGGCGCTGCTGCTCGGGCTCGGCTTGTCGCAGGGCTCCCCGGACAGAAGCTCCTCGGCGGGCAGGATGGGCAGCGGCGGCGGCGGCCAAGCGGCCTCGGCGGCGGCGCGGGCCGGCGCGGCCACGCACAGGTTGTAGGAGTAGGGCAAGGTGCCCTCGCAGAAGTCGGGCGGGAAGGCGGCGCCGGCCAGCGAGAAGCGCTGCGCGCCCAGGCAGCGCAGCACGGCGGGCGGCCCGGCCCGGCGCAGCCGCCCCAGCACGGCCAGCGCCACGCTGAGCACGAAGAGCGCCGACAGCAGCGCCAGCGCCAGCACCAGGTAGAACTGCAGCTCGGCCGGCGCCTCGGCGCCCGCCGGCCGCTCGCTCAGCTCCGGCAGCGCCTCCTGCAAGCTGTCGGCCAGCACCACGTGCAGCGTGGCCGTGGCCGACAGCGCCGGCTGCC